CAATCCCTTCTCTTCCATTCTCCTCTCAGGATCTTGGGCATGCATGCACACATGACCTGCGTGAGTTTAGGCCACCGGGTCCAGGACTCAAACTGCGGTCGACTACATGGGAGTCCAGTGACATAAGCATTATGCCAATTGCTGGTCCCCCCCCCCTTTTTTTAAAAATACTTTTCCATCTCCTTCCTTCTCTCTCTCTCATCTCCTTGTATACATATATATGTATGTGTGTGTGTGTGTGTGTGTGTGTGTGTGTGTGTGTGTATGCCAGAGGGCACCTGTGTACACATGCAAGAGAGAGGTGGAGAGAGAGCAGAAGCACTGCCCACAGGCTCCTGGTTGCAGAGCAATCCTTCTTTCCACTCTGCATCCCATGAGGGTCCTGGGTGTTTACATGTACGCCCAGTATTTTTCATATTGCTGGGACTGGGGCTCAAACCGTGGTCAACCAAGTGGATCTGGCTTCTGTGTAACTGCTATGCTCTAAGGCCAACCTCTTATATTTTTTTATTAAGAGCCAAACATTGATGCTTATTAAGAACATAAAAAATAATAGTAATAATGATGTTAACTGCATTATTATTAAGAGCTAAACACTGAATGTTAAAAACTGGAACTACTCAAGGCTTAAGCTGGTATTTCCTCCAAGGATATACACTGGTTTCCAGCAGTTACAAACACTAGCAATCCAAAAGTAATGCAGTTTCCAGAACTGAGGTGATGCAAAGCTGGGCCTCATTCTCTGCAAAGGTCTGTCTAGTACTATCAGTTCACCTTTTCTTATAGCATAACTGTACTGGGTCCCAGTCAAAATGCACACTTCTTAGCAGGTTCCGGTCTGCAAGTTTTATCTCCAGATCTTGGGATATATAGTCCCAGATGCCTCATAAGTCTGAACAGCCAGATTTTCCTGGATATTGGTCCCTTATTTTCTCTGTCTCATAAGCTCCTCAGCACCTTCTAACAGGCTGTCTGTCATATTTTGTTTGGTGTTCTGGTGCTGTCATTTGAGAGTATGCCTCAACTCTGCCATTTCAGAAGAATTTCCCTTATTTCTTTTTACCTTGAGACATTTTCCATTTTAGGTGTTGTATTTGGTTCTATTTCAAATATATCTATTCTTTCTCCATAGTTTTAATTTCTTTGGTGTGTGTGATCACTGTGTGTAGTAAAATTCTGGGAGATCTATTCTTGCTGTTACATTAACTGTCCGTTATAGTAAGTTATTTCCTCGTGCATTTTACAATGTGGGATCATAAGGTCACTTTCAGAGGACCCCTCTGCACAGTCTGAGTTGAAGGCATGTCACAATAAAACAATATTGTGTTTGCATCTATGAGGCATCCTGGACCAGTCTTCATATACAATTTTTTTTTGAGAGAGAGAGTGATTTTTGCTATAGGGTGCATGCTCTCACCAGAGAGACAAAGACAGAGAGAAGGTAAGAAATCACCTTGCAAGGGGATACTCAAGCCCCCAAGCCACAATCCCTTCTCCATTTTCTTCCCTTGGGCACTCTTGAAATTAATTAATGTCTCCTGTGAATTGAGAACAAATGAATACCAAACCCACATGATTTTGGTTTCAAATTCTCACAGGAGACTCTATACCTCAGCCAGACCCTAGGCCGTGTAGGTGAGCAGATTGCTTATCTGGACTATCTTTTCCCAGAGATATCTCCTGTTAGGAGTCCTGACTTCATGCAGGATCTTGTTTCCTGTGAACTTACTGCTTGCAAGGTCTCATTTTCTGTTCTGATCTGGATATTAAAACACAACCACATAGGACCAGCAGAGAGCATGGTGGTTAAGGCACTGGATCCCACATAGCCAACTCCACAGTTTGAGTCCTAGACCTGGCAGTTTGAAAAACACATCAGACACATGTGTGCATGCCCAAAATCTCAAGAGGAGAATGGGGGAAAACGGAATGTGGCATGGCCACCCACCCTCCAACCCCCCCACCCTGAGTGATTTCTCACTTTTCTTCCGTTTCTCTCCAGAGAGTGCACATATCCTATAGCAAAAATCTAAGATACACACACACAGAGTCAGATTTCTGACAAGTCCATCCATTGCCCACTCTACCACTGCTCACTGTCTACACTGTTGCAAAATCAGCTCACTTATTGCTGTGATTCTGTGTTTTCTGTTTCTAGCCTCCAGAGATTTCCTTAATTTTCTTGAAGGCATGATAGTGCTTTTATTTTTATTTTTATTTTTAATTTGCTAGCAAGCACTGTGTACTTGCTGGAGACAGAGAGGGAGGGAAACTGAGAAAGCACCTCCATGGGGGATGGTTATGCCTCAGTCCCTTCCCCTCCATCCTTCCCTCCCTCAGGACCTTGGGCACCTACTACATGTGCCTGGCACGTCTTTCAAGCCACCAATTCCAGGACTCAAACCACACAGTCAGTCTTGTGATATCGTCACCTCAACCACCACTCCACTGGCTGGCCCTGATAGTGCTTTTTTATTTTTTCAGAGAGGATTTTAATTTTTGCTATTGGGCACGTGCACTCACCAGACAGACAGAGAAGACAGAAAGCGAGAAATCACCCCCCGGGGGAATGGCCACGCCACAATCCCTTCTCCTCCATTCTCCTCTCAGGATTTTGGGCATGCACACACATGCGCCCAGTGTGAGTTTAAGCCACCGGGTCCAGGACTTGAACCGCGGTTGACTACGTGGAAGTCCAACGACATAGCCATTATGCTAACTGCTGGTCCCTAGTGCTTTTTTTAAAAGTTGATCATTTTCTCTTTTTTTAAATTTTATTTACCTTTATTTATTTAAATTTGACTAGAGAAAGACAGAGCAAGAAAGTGAGGAAGCAGGCCACCAGATCCAGGACTTGAACCACAGTCAACCATGTGGGAGTCCAGTGCCCTTAATCACCACATCAACTGCCAGTCCCCTGATAGTGCTTTTAAAATGATGTCATGAGCTGGCCACATATCCTGTTAGTTAAGACAGCAGGTGCCACATGGCAGCCATGGTTCAAACACTAGCCCTGATGGGCTTGAAACAGAAACTAGGCATGTGTGTGTATATGCCCCAAATCTCAGGAGGAGGAAAAAACGGAGAGATTACTGCCTGACCGTGCACCATGGTGCTTTCTTCCTTTCTTTCTCTTGTGAGTACACACATTCTTGGACAAGTAAGAGTTCACTATATAGGAACCAGCAGGTGATATGGTCGTTGAGGTGGTTGAGATACTGGACTCCCATGTGACCAACCGTGGTTTGAGTCCTGGACCTGGGGGATTGTTTTCTCACCCTGCTCCCCCAGTGAACTCATGTGTCCTATACCAAATTAAGAATAATAATAAATTTTAAAAATGTTTAAGTTCACTATTACATATATATATATTTTTTTTTTAAGAGACTTTTGCTATAGGGTGCTTGCATTCACTGGAGAGACAGAGAGAAACTGAGAAGTCACCCCCCAGGGGCATGGCCACACAGCAGTCCCTTCTCCTCGAATCTCCTCTAGGGATTTTGGGCATGCATACACATGAGCCAGGTGTAATTTGAAGGCACTGGGTGTGGGACTCAAACTGCAGTTGACCATGTGGGAGTCCAGTGCCTTAACCACTACGCCACCTGTTGGCTCCAAAGGTTCATTGTAATCAGCATTTCTAGGTACTCATAGTGAAGACTTCGATTATCTAACCTATCATAATCCTAGAGATTTAGAAATTAAAGTTTTTTCGAATATTTTATGTGAGTAGGAGCAGAATTGCAAGTTTTGGATAACATTCTTCCCTTTTGTCTCTGCAAGAAACATCCAGAGAGCATTCTAAAGGCCGAGCTGCCTGTGTCCACTTTAGACCCAGTGAAGGCAATGATGGAAATAGGCATCCAGGAAGCTCCTCTGTCGAGAAGTCCAGAGGTGAGACGGTTGGTGAGCAGCGGTGTGAAATAGGGAAAGGCTTCTTGAAGCAGCCCTCCTCTATCAGGGTGGCTGGGCCTGCTGAGAAAGGAGAGGACCCCAGTCGGGCAGCTGCACACCTTCCACAGCGGGATGGCCACTGGAAGCCCAGCATGAGGCGTGACACGGCACCCAAGGGCAAATGTGCCCCCCAGAAAAGGCGTGTTCAAGAGCTCAGAGGAGAAAGGTGCTCCCCAGCTGGTTCTAGTCGGCCTGGCAGTGCCAGGGGGGAGGTGGTCCATGCTGGGCAGAATCCTCTCCACCATCGCCCACCGAGAAACAGAATGACACAGGACAAGCTTGCAGAAGGGGTCTATTCAGATTTGCCACAGAGCACAGAGAACCTGAGGTCAGGAGGCAGGAAGCTGGGGACATCCACCCTTTCTGAGGACGTTCCAGTATCAAAGGAGACTGATCCAGCACCTGGTCCCCTCTGTGGGCAGAATGTGAATATTGACCTTCTCCCCGTAGAGCTTCGACTACAAATAATCGAGAGAGAGAGAAGGAGGAAAGAGCTGTTCCGCACAAAGAACAAGGCAGCTGCTGTCATCCAGCGGGCCTGGCGAAGGTAAGAGGCTGGGGCGCTGCCTGCCGCATATTCAGCTCTTTGCTTGTTCCTGATCCTAACATCCCCCTCCCATGCTCTTTGAGGTTTTCCCAGTGAATTCCACTGGCATGACAAGACAGATTTTATGGAGCCTACAATAAAATTCACACATGTGTACATCCTAATAATTGTCTTTGTATAAACTATTTAGATATCTTTGCCCAGAAGATCCAAAAGAACCCCAAATAGCATAATGTAAATAAAGGAAAAAGCTCTGAGTTTGTAACCATAAAGCCTGCGTTTCAGGTCAAGCATTAACAAGTTAAATTGACTTTGGGCAAATCATTTGGCCTCTCAGACCCTCAGTTTCCTCATCAATAAAACAGGGTGTAGGGCCCAGACATCATATATTGACTAAAATGTATTACATAAACCTGTCTGTGCATCTGCTAAGCTCAAAATATGGGGTCGACACTGGGAGTGGGTGTGGAGTCTGTCCTAAAGACCAAGACTGGCTTTGGCCTGTGCCTGCTTCTCTTTCCACTTCTCCCCACCATGTTGTTAGATGTAGCACCATATGCCAGCCCATGCCGTTGGATTTTCCAACTACTGGAATCATAAACTAAATTCACTCTTCTTTCTTTTTTTGTTTTTGTTTTTCATTTTTTAATTAATTAATTTACATTCATTCACTGAGCATTGTCACAGCATACAAAATGTGATTTCCCATCCAGAATATACTGCATAGTGGCTTAATCATATCTGTTATCATCAATAATTTTCCATTTCTAGTTTTATATATATATATATATATACATTCCTCCTGTATTTCTCACCATATACCACTTCCCACCCTCTTCCCACATTATCACATTATCTCAGGTGTCCACAGTTGTTTTCTATTCCTTTTTCCCCCCACATAAAATTTCTTAAATAATTTAACTACTTTCAATAGCAAGATCAGCTGACATATACATATCTATGAATACATGTCTGACTTTAGGCATGAAATGCTGAGTAGGATGAATATACTATAAGGTAGTACCTAGCTGATGCTATATATCTTACTATAATCTTTAGGTATTTTTTTACTATATTTTTTAATTTCAAGAAAAGCAATTTTAGCTTTAATAAATCAAAGAAATGCTAAGAAACTACTCAAAGCCAGGAAACAAGTTAGAATTCTGTTCAAATAATAGGTACATGAACCTATTGGCAGTTCAAGACAGGACAAAAATTTTTAAAACAAGAACAGAGCCTAGAAGAAAATCAGCAATATTTTAGTCAAAAGTTATAAAATTCTATTTCACCAGTTCAGCCTCATGTACTTAATCTATCTTCTGTTATGGTTGATCTTCCCAATTAAATGCTGGGGTATAATATTCATCTCCAGACTTGTCCCTATGATTAAGTTGGCCATTTTCTTAGTTTTTGAACTCTTATTTCTGTGTGACTATATTTAATTTTCCTGGTATAGGACTCCCTGCAGAACTTCTTGGAGATCTGGTGCTGGTAAATTCTTTCAGGTTTTGTTTA